TCACGACTAGCTCGCCGTTGGGCGAGCTAGAAGATTCCCGGGCAGCTTGCCAAACGGCGAGCTGAACCAGTCCGGTTTGGTTCGCCGTACGTTGAACCGACCATTCCGAGTCTCGATCTTCCGCATCCCCGATTCAAGGCTTACGTCCATCGACACGGTCGTGTTCCGAACCACAATCGAAATGTCTCCCGTCTCGTCTCGATCCATCCTATCATTCGGGTTTTATGATAAAAACCATAAAAAACAATTTCTCGAAAAGAACTCGTGGAAATAGTATAAAACGGCAATGGTTAAACGAAACACCGAACATTGCCTAAACTATACGATTTATTCGAGATTTTTCGTAAAAATCGTAAAAAACGCGTTTTTAATAAAAACGTCGAGTGAATCGTAAAACGGCAACGATTAACCGAGAAACGAACGTAGCTAAACTTTACGATTAACTCGGGGAATTTATTAAAAATGGCATTGGATCAGGAAACGATCTCGTACAAAGTCGCAAAACGGATTTATCGCAAAACGGCCCGGAAGGTCCTAAAACGCGATAAAAGCCCATCTCGCGATCTTAACAAAATCTAACCCGAAGATACGATAATATTTTGACGGTTTACTCGCAGAAGGAAGATAAATGTCAAGTTTGAAGGTAAATGGCAAGTTTGTTGGTAAATAGAAGATTTCCGCGGAAAAAAAGGAAGGATCGAGATAAATTGAAGATTCCCGATAAACTCGAATCTAGGCGAAATGGAAAGACTAAACCGCCAAGGAGAGGAGTCATAAGCAAGAGGCGTAGGGCAGAAGCATGGACACGTTTTCAGAGCTTTCCCCACCAAATTTAGCATTTAGGAATATTTATGTTTTCTGTGAGCGAGCTGCGTCTTAACTAGGGTTTTCGGTCTTAGACTTCTAGAGTTAGGGATTTCGCCGACGGCTCACGCAGCTAAGGTCACTCTCGTTGTAGCAGTTCTTACGCTGATTCGGAATAAAAACCTTTTTGCTCTCAAGCTCGTTCATTCTCGCTTTAATTTTAAATTCATCGTTTTCTTAATTATCGTTGTGCGGTTCTGCAGATAGCCGGGTCCTCTGGAAACTTAGGGTTAACTCAAAGTTTCCTTATTTACGATTCATTGACAGTAGGTGAATTTCGGTTCCCACACCAAAGAGTGTCAAGGCCATGTTTATTGGGTATTCTCACACACAGAAAGGGTACAAATGCTACTCACCAGATTCACGAAGAGTGAGTCTTAGTCTCAAGAGATGTCAAGTTTGTGGAATCAAAGGGGTTCCATGAGGTGAAGAGTTGGAACAACCTTAAAGACCTTTCTCAAAGACCATCTGATAGGGCAAACAACTTGAGGATTATTTTGGAGAGTCTAGGCATAACCAAGCCTCAGTCCGGTGCTAGACCACACACGGATTCTCCACCAGTCCTTGAAGGTGATGGTTCTTCTAAAGATGCGCCTGGTCCAGCACTTGCTCAAACTTCACCAATTGATGAGGCTATCCATCCTGATCATGAGGGGGACAGTGAACCTGAATCTCAATACCAAAGAAAAGAGGAAGATGATTCAGAACCATCACATGATCAAATCGGGAAGAGAAGAAGTAGATTCTGATCAGTTTAGTGAGGATTTAGATCAAGAGGAGCATGAGGAAACTGGGATAGAAGAGAGCAACATATTCAGCCATTGAGAAGAAGCACCAGAGTGAGAAAGCCATCTAATTGGGTCAACAACAAAGTGTACTTCAACAACAATGAAGTAGCACATCCCATACAAGCAATCTGCTCAATGGCAACTTTCCCTCTACAACACCAAGCCTTCTTAACCAATCTCAACCAAAACTTCATCCCAAAGACCTATGAAGAGACAATGGAAGATGATGAATGGAGAGAATCAGTGGGAGATGAGATGGGGGCTATGGAAAGGAATGATACATGGTTTGAATCTGAGCTACCTAAAGACAAGAAAGCTATGACCAGCATGCTACTCTTCACCATCAAATATCTTGCTAATGAAAATCCAGAAAGGAAGAAGACAAGGTTGGTTGCAAGAGGGTACACTCAGGTCTATGGAGAAGACTACCTAGATACCTTTGCACCAATGGCCAAGTTGTATACTATAAGGATTCTACTATCTTTGGCCGTGAACTTGGAATGAGACTTATGGCAGATGGATGTCAAGAATGTTTTCCTACAAGGAGAGCTGGAGGATGAGGTATACATAAGACCACATCCTGGTATGGAAGACATGGTCAAGCCAGGAAATGTCCTAAGGTTGAAGAAGGTAATCTATGGATTAAAACATTCACCTAGGGCCTGGTATCATAAGCTGAGTACAACTCTCAATGGAAGAGGGTTTATAAAGTCAGAAGCTGATCATACTTTATTCACCCTCACAAGCAAGCAAGGAATTGTGGTGATACTGATCTATGTGGATGATATCATCATCACATGAAGCAACAAGGAAGGTATCATCTCTACTAAAGCCTTCCTTAAATCTAGTTTTGATATTAAAGATTTGGGTGAGCTAAAGTACTTTCTAGGGATAGAAATATGCAGCTCTAAAGAGGGATTTTTCTTATCTCAAAGAAAGTACACACTTAATCCGTTAAATGAGGTAGGAAAACTTGGAGCAAAAGTAGCTAAGACACCACTTGAAGAAGGGTACAAAATCTTGCGTGAGGGGGAGTTTGAGGATACTTCATTTGGCAAGACCAGACATTTGTTTTGCTGTGAATAAGGCCAGTCAACATATGCAAACACCAAAGGTTCATCATTGGAATATGGTGGAAAGAATCATGAGATATCTAAGAGAGGCTCCTGGTTAAGGTGTTTGGATGGGTTGCAATAAGAGCACAAAGATAGTGGGATATTGTGATGCTGATTGGACTGGTGATAGAGTATACATGAGGTCAACAACATGCTATTGTACTTTCATTGGAGGCAACCTAGTCACATGGAAGAGCAAGAAACAAAAGGTGGTATCGTGTTCAAGTGCAGAGGCAGAGTATAAGGCAATGAGAAAGCTCACTAGTGAACTCATTTGGATCAGAAACCTGCTAAGAGACTTGGGCATAGAAGAAACAACACCTATTACAATGCATTGTGATAACCAGGCAGCTATCCACATAGAATCAAACTCAGTGTTCCATGAAAGGACTAAGCACATTGAAGTTGATTGTCACAAAGTGAGACAAATTGTGGAACAGAAGATCATTTTACCTTGCTATACTCGAAGTGAAGACCACCTAGCTGATATTTTCGCAATGAGAGCAAGTTCTAAGGTATGTGAGTTCATACACCCAAGATTGAGACTCATAGACCTAACACTACAAGAAATATGAGTATTGATAGCACTAGCAGATAGCGTTTTTCGTCTTTCTGCTATGGTTGATATACCCCTAACTATTAGATAGCGTTTGCAAAAATGCAAACGCTATGTTTTCTTAGTCAGATTTTAATTCTACAAATGCTTTTTTGAAACGTAGTATACTTAGCACTTTCAATTTTGAAACGTTATGTATAATTAAAACAAGAAAATAAATTATTTTCCGTGTCATTTTTATTTCACTTTCCCTCTTACTCCATTTTATTTACCTTCCAAATTCCTAAACCCTAAACCCTAAACTCCAAACCTTAAATTTTTAACACAACCCCTAAAATCTAAACAAAACTTTAAACTTTAAAGTTTTAGTATCAAATTTTAAATTTAACTTCAAATCTTAAATATAAAACTCAAAATTAATATTTTCAAAAATTAATCTCAAATCTTAAATCAAAACACCAAACTTTCAACCCTCAAACCCTATAAGAAGTCACTATCAGCTGAGACAGATTTACTTTATCATTACTTTTCTTATTTTGTATCAGATGGTATGTCTTTAGATATGGTTTTGTGTACTCATAATTAATTAAGGAAAACAGATTCTTCTTTTATTCTCTCTCTTAAAATTCAAATTTACAGATTTCTTTTTCACTTGTATTCTTAAACTTGTTCATCATATTTCTTACAGTATCAAGTAACTGTGTCCATCCCTAAAATTGATGTTTCATGAACTTTATCTCAAACCATCCTTTCTTTTCTAAGAAATGCAACGGTATATTGAAATAGGACTTTTCGTTTTGATCTCAAGTGTTCGGTCTATGTAACGTTCGACGATCGTGGAAAAGTTGTATAACAAAAAGATGAGAAGAATGCTGAACGAAAAAGGGAGGTTATACGACGCCGTTGCGTCTTTCAGACAAAAGCTGCAATTCAGTGGTAATCATCTCTTGGCATCCAACAAAACATTCATAAAAAAACATTCTTCTTTTTTACTTTGTTTTTTTCTTTCAGCTTTAGCATATTTCACATTTTCACCTTTTTATTTTACAAAATATCGACATTTCTATTTGACTACTGTTTTTTAACCACTGTTTGACTACTGTTGTCGCAATTATTATGGCAAAATTAGTTTTGAATTATTTTTTTCTAATATTCTAACTCCAAACAATTTAATCAGGGCAAAATAAAAAAGTTCTGATTATTATAGGGATCGGAAAAAATACTAGTACAAAAGAAGGGTTCACACGTGTGCACGCGCGACAATCAGTAGACATATGACCACCAATCACGTGCAGGCTAAAGTCATAAGACCAGCCGCAACGGAGGTCCGTGGGCCAAGTCCTTAGGTTTTTTGGATTTAAAATAAATCAAATTGGGCTCAAAATTATAAGGATTTGTACGGTAGAGTCCGTCTGTAAGGATCCGAAACATGAAGTCCTTCATGAGCTGGCAGCGTTTTTCGGCTATGGGTCGTGAGAAAAAAAAAACACTAACACGAAAAAGANTAAGACCAGCCGCAACGGAGGTCCGTGGGCCAAGTCCTTAGGTTTTTTGGATTTAAAATAAATCAAATTGGGCTCAAAATTATAAGGATTTGTACGGTAGAGTCCGTCTGTAAGGATCCGAAACATGAAGTCCTTCATGAGCTGGCAGCGTTTTTCGGCTATGGGTCGTGAGAAAAAAAAAACACTAACACGAAAAAGAAAAAAAAAAAGGCAGAGCAGAGACGAAGGCGAGACAAAAGGCGATTCGGCTATCTTGAGATCTCCTCCACCTGATCACGATTCGGCGAGGTAAGTCGGAATCAGTTTATACATGCCTACTCACCTTCACTACTCCTCATCTTCTCTTCTCTCTAACTTTCTTGATAAACCCTAGATCTCCGATATGGCAGACGCAGAGACTTTCGCATTCCAGGCGGAGATCAACCAATTGCTCTCCCTCATCATCAACACCTTCTACAGCAACAAAGAGATATTCCTCCGTGAACTCATCAGCAACTCCTCCGATGTAAGTCTCTCTTTCTTCTTTTATTGTGTCATGAATATTTCTGGATTTTTCTTTGTTGGTTTACTGGTAAAACATGTTCTTGGTTGATTAGGAGTTTAAAGATTTTATATCAAGTTTTGGAGCCTTTTTTTGTTCAATTCTACATGCCTTTACTTGCTCTCTAATGGTTTTCATCTAAAGTTTGTTTCTTGCTGTTACAAATTCGAATTCTTTGGGGAACTTCACACAGCCACAAACAGTTTCAAGAGGTACCAAGTCAAGTTCAGGAGAAGGAGAGGTATTAATTCTTCATTTGTTTTTTGTTGGTTTTGTCTGTTTGGTCTTTTTGGTTCTGAAATGTTTCTTCTGCTTTTACGCTCATGAGTTGCCTCAGTATGGACTCAATGTTGGTTTTACCAACTACGCTGCAGGTATTATTAAATCTGTCCTATGTTTTGTGATTTTTAGCTGGCTGATTCTGTGTCTATTGTTTCTTAAAGACTGTTTTTTTTGTCTAATCAGCTTACTGCACTGAGCTTCTTTTAAGTGATTCTGTGTGGGTGTGCGGGGTTGAGGTCTGTGTTTATATGTAAGCAAGTTCATGGCTAAAGCTTGGGGTAGAAGCATTGCTTGAGTACCTGTGAGATAGGAATGTTCTCGAAACGTGGAGATGAGGAGCCTCGAAGGAGTAGAAGAATGTGAGACTGCAGCACACGAAGACAGGACATGTCGGTCAGCTTTATTATTACCCCTGCCTGTTGCACGTTTACTGATTCGAACATGTGTCCTTGGTGAAGTAGTAGCTTGCTTAAACCATCTATATATGATCCCAGCAGGAGTTTTATGCTCTTGGGCTATTCCATTTTTCTATCTATAGCTTTATAACTAAGTTAGAGTTGCAATATGAGTTAATTGTTCTATTTTNCATGTCGGTCAGCTTTATTATTACCCCTGCCTGTTGCACGTTTACTGATTCGAACATGTGTCCTTGGTGAAGTAGTAGCTTGCTTAAACCATCTATATATGATCCCAGCAGGAGTTTTATGCTCTTGGGCTATTCCATTTTTCTATCTATAGCTTTATAACTAAGTTAGAGTTGCAATATGAGTTAATTGTTCTATTTTGCAGCTCAGGTACCATGAATCTGGAAGGGAAGGGACTTGTCTGCCACAAGTTGGTCAGTGGAATATGATGAATAAGGTAACTAGATCAAATATTTATTCGTCTGTCCACCTATATTTATGATTCTATAGTTCTATTCTCTTGATTTTTTTTAACACCTACTGAAGATTTCCATTACGTGAAGGTAGCAACATACAAAAACAGAGTAATCAAATACTCTGGAGACAAAGAACACACAACTAATGAGATCAGCTACACCATCTAAGCCTCATTCTACCTTACAACACGACCAATACAACAAAGAAAGAGACCCCTAGAGGGCACTCCTTTCACCGACAAAGAGATCTTGAAAACTCGATATCATGATGCCATGGCCAAGCTATCTGATTGGAAAAGAGATTGATCTTCTTATTGTCATTCTGCCAGATAATAATGGATCATTATATGTATTTCCTATTTTGGTTCATGTAATAAGTAATAAAGATTTCAGTTTTTTTTACAAATTTAAAAATTTTAATTTATAGAATTTTAATAATTTAAAAATGTTAAGGACTCCATACTCGATAACACCATTGGACACACCATTTCGACTAGAGTTCTTACCTATTCAACAAAAAAAAAAAATATATATTATAATGTTAAGGATTCCACAATGGGGTACACCATTGTGGATGGTCTAACCACTTGTTTGGTCTGTACCTGACTATCCACGTGGCCCTCTTTAACTGAAAACTCCCCTGTCTCTTTCATTTTTCTCTATCATCACTATTCATTGAGAAACCATCGCTATACCAGATAAGTATGTTATTATATTTTTTCCGACTGAAGTATGTTAGTATTAATGTATTATGTTCGTAAATCGTAATACACAGTCGTATAACATAATAGAGTGACAGACACGTTACACATATAGGTTATTTTCCGTGTTTATTCACCATTAATAATGTTTGTTTAGTGTTTGTAATTAACCCTATTGCAACGTGCACTGTTATTGTCGCGGCACCATCCAAACTCAACACATGCAATACGATTTTGAGGCCAAAGAATACATATCTTCTGACTGAGAGTAACAAAGCAAACTAATAATAACACCAAACTTACCCAAGGCGCGGATGTAGAATTTTTTTAATTTGGAGCAAATCATGTATAAATATAAACATAAGGGAGTTTGACAAAAAAAATATATAAACATAAGGGCAAATCATGATTTGTAAAAGAGCAAATGACTAATTTTTGGGTAAGTTACAAAGAATTTAATTTTTTGTGGGGGTAATTAAGTGCCACGCCTTCTTAAGTCGCGTAGATCCCGCACAGAACTTATATTCTATATATAAAAACAGAAGTAGAAGTAGGCACAATTACTTGTTATTTAGTTTATACTCGCTACTTGATTCATACTTGGCTTTCAAAATCGAGTACTTGTATTGTTCAAGTCGAAATTTCAATTACTTGCAAGTACAAGACAAGTACCAAGTATTAAAATAAAATAACTACTTGGCGTTTTTGATTTGTTACTCATGACTTATTACTTGATTTATTATCCATTTTTACTTTTGGACAAAAAAATCTCTAAATTATAATTGTATTACTTGTTTATACGATAAATTAATTAAAAGTGATATTATAGAAATATTTTAGAGTTTTAACAAAAAAATTATTTATCATATATCGACTTAAAACATATAAAATTCAAAAAAATTATGTAGATTAGAATTATAACTAACTATTTTTTTCTTAAACTCATATATAAGATTTAAGTAGGTAAAATTAATAAATTATTATAAAAAACTTACAGATAATTATATAATAATTTATAAATAATTGAGAAATAATAAGTTAAAACGGGGTAAGTATTTGCAAGTATGCCATTTTTTAGCAAGTACTTGAAAATGCAAGTACTCATTTTTAACAAACCAAGTACAAGTCTAAAATTTCATTACCCAAACAAGCCAAGCTAAGTACCAAGTAAGTCAAAAATGACAAGTACTTGGCTTGTACCCACCCTTAAACAGAAGTCATGACTTCAATTCATGTGTGATTTTTATTTTAATTTTGATCATCACTTAGACATTTTATAAAATGTATTTTATTAAGACTAATAATATATAGAATCTTTAAAATACTTTAATCATAATATCTTTTGATATCTTTCATTTTAAATATAAATATATTCATTTCAAAATTCTAACAAATATGTTTTAATATATTTTTACAAGATCTTCATTTTCGATATTATATTTAAATATTTTCACTAGTTTTGAAAATAGTTTAAAATATTATTATACATTAATATGTTCAGTTAAAGTTTTTTAAAATAAAATTAAAAATTATTTCATATTATCTATTATATAATCATAATCAATCATATTAAAAATGTATTATATTGAGTTAAATATAATAAATATTGATAAATTTATATATTTTATTTTTGTAAGTATAAAATATTTATGTTCAAAAATTAAATCTAATATGTTGGTAAGACGGATTAACGTTAGCAAACTATATAATACATATATATAAACTAAGGGAGAATTTCAATTATACCACTTTGGTGGTACCACTTTTCATGTTTACCATCAACAAAAGAACATTTTCAAAAATACACATTTTATTAAATGATAAAAGACTCTTATATTCTTTTTTTTTATATATATATATAAGATAAATATTAAATAAAATATTAACCCTAAACCCTAAAACATCAATTCTAAACTCTAGACCCTAAAAAGTAAACCCTAGACCCTAAAAATCAACCGTAAACCCTAAAATATCAATTCTAAACCTTAAACCCTAAATTCTAAACCCTAAAAAGTAAACCCTAAACCCTAAAAAATCAACACTAAACCCTAAACTATCAATCCTAAACCCAAAACCTTAAACTCTAAATTCTAATAGTATTTTGACTATTAAAATTTTGATGGTAAAGTTGGTTAGTGTAAAGTTGAAAAGTGGTATCTTGAAAGTGTTATTTCTGGCAATTTCCCATAAACTAACATGTATTTCAGTGAAGCTAATAATATAAATTGTAACTACTTTAATCATGATAATTTTTCATTTTAAATATAAATATATATATATATATATATATATATATATTTGTATATTAAATTTTTAAAATCATAATAAATATATGTAAACATATTTTTAAAATAACTTAATGTTTTCTAATTTATCATTTATAGAATGAAAATTTAAATTATATCCTATTTTATTTATTTGATAGTCATAACCATCATGTTAAAAGACAATTTTTATATTGAACTAAATATGATAAAATTATATAAAATTTATAAATTTTATTTTCATAAATCTAAACTATTTATTTTATAGAATAAATATGATGACAGAACGAATTAACTATATAATACATGTCTAAAAATTAACATATCTTAGACTTTTGTATATAAAATAATGTATTATCTAAAATGAATAAACATACAAATATTGGTAAAGGAAAATCCAACTTTGAAGGACGGGTCAGAATTTATCATAAATTAAATACAAAGTAATTTTTAAATATGTTATCTCATGAATATATTAGTTTTCTTAATAACTAAATATTGCAAATACAATAGGATAAATATATAGTAAGAAGTGACAAATAAATATGGTTTTAAATAATTTATTAATATAACATGTAAATTATAAAATTATTTATTTGAAATATTTATATTAACATTTAAGTATATGATTAATGTTAAAAATATATACCACTTACGTTTAAAAATAAATATTTATGTATATAAAAATGAAAATACAAATTCGCGTGGTTGCGCGAATCAAAATCTAGTACATATTAAACTAATTAAAGTGTTGGTAGTAAGAGCATCTTCATCTCCACTTCATTTTGCATTAAAATTATGGAGTGGGGTTGGAGATGCTCTAAGGAGTCCGGTTTTCTTGTGTTCTTGGTTCAAATCATTTTTAGCACAAAAAAATATTTTCTAAATCCGAGTTTCTATGAATTAATTCCAGTGAAAGATTATTGACATAAACTCCATTCGTAAATAAAATCTAGCTTTAAATTGAACGGTGCACTATTCTTTAACAAAATTTGAGCACATCTAATTTGGATATCGAGAAGCTTTGTGTTTTGTTCATGATATATGTAAAACATGGTTTATCGGTATGGTTCATGCATCCTAACAAATCGGAGCCAAATTGTTAAGGTATATCATTATAAGCAAGAAGTTAAAATCTGCTATGTTATTTTATTTTCTGAAGTCTGAACAAGTCGACAAGATTAATATCAAAACCTGACCAATCGTCGTCTGCGTTCTGATGGATCAAGGCACAGTGTAACGAGTCCTGCATGCAAGGTTGTTATGGGACATGATTTGCCCCCTTAAGTTCTCTATTATTAGATACCCGTACATTTATGGTATAAAACTATGATGTGTAAGTTGTCTAATTGCTTTTAATGATTAATATGTTCACCAACTTATTGCCTATTACGTTATAATCGTCCACCTGCCATATGTAGAAAGAACAAAAAAAATTCATCCTCCTATATATTAAAAGAGAAGTCAATTTAGTGATTTCTGGTGACGTGTCGTTCATAGGTGAAGTTTCAAGAAATCCTTATAATTTGATTGGTCGATTGTTTTTAATTTTTATTTATTTAATTTAGATTTAAAAATTTAAGGTAAGTCTAAAATCATTTAACATCCCTTGCCATATAATCTAAAGAATATTACAAATAACAATTTATGGAAACTAATTCTCGCAATTATAGAAAGATTAATAATGTTTTATTTATTACTTTTAATATTTATAAAGTATAAAATATAATGAACGAAATTTTATATAAGATAATTATAATAGTTTTATACTCTACTTGATGAATTGTATTCGAATATAATTATATAATAACTATTTTAAATATTACAAAAATCAAGCATCTTTATTAATATTATTTTAAAATTATTTAGCGTTGTTTAAAGAATAAATTTATCTGAATTTTAAAATAAGTCATAAAATGTTATAAATTATTTATAAAAATATAAAACCTACTACATATTGATTGAGAAATAACATAAGTGATTTTTTATTACGTGCATGAGTGGACTC